CTTTATTGATTTCAGGGAGAGGGAGGGAGGGAGGGAGGGAGGGAGGAACTGGGTGACGAGAGTCCCGGACCGGCTGCCTCCTGCGCGCCCCCTGCTGGGGGCGGGGGAGCCTGCGCCCCGACCGGAACCGAACCGCGACCTCCTGGACCCCAGGTCGACGCTCAACCGCTGGGCCGCCCCGGCCGGGCTGACTTTTTTAACACCTCGGTGCTGTCGTTTGCCTAGTTGCTATTTCCTTGTCTTCAGTTCACAAATCTGTTGTTTCCACAACACTTATGTTACTGTTGAGCCTGTCAACAGACAGGGTTTATATTTTATATTTTTTACTTATATAATATCCATGTGTGTATTTAAAAAAAAAAAAAAATATATATATATATATATATATTCTCCTGTTCCTCTTCTATTTTTATGTTTGTTAGAAATACTTGAATACACTTGTACAATTTTGGGGGTTTATCATCAGCCCTGTCCTTTCTGTGCTGGTTTCTACCGACTATTTTTTCTTGATATCAGCCACATATTTCTTCACCTGTTGTATTTGGTTGGGTGCTGGACACCACGTCTGTTCATTATGAGGTACCCAGAATCTGATAGGTTTTATTATATCTTGAGTTTTGTTTGGCAACAACTTATTAAATTTCAGACACATTTGTCCTGCTCGAGGCTCCGTGGGTTTTGAAACAACTCCAGGGAGCAGCCATCACCACAGGCGCGTCCCCGCTCCTACGCGCACCCCTCCTGATCTTCCCACCGAGCGGCTCGGGTCGTCAGCAAGGTCCCTCCACTCCGAACGGTCGGCGATTATTTCCAAGGCCTGCGAGAGCCGCAGCAGTTGCTCCGCTCACGGCCTAATGGAAGTTCCGTTTACAGGCGTCCTTCCCAGGTCTCTCGGGGTCTCATCCCACGTGTGTGTAGCTCGGGGTTGAACCAAAGACTCAAAAGGAATCTTGATGTTTCACAGACTCTCTGTTCAAAACCCTCCGCCTGTCCTCGCCCTGCGAACTCCGGCCAGCTCCCCGTTACCACTCCGGCTCCCGGCCTGGCCTCCAGCATTTTAAAATCTGTCCTTCTGTCCAGGGCATGGATCTACTTCTGTCCATGTCCCTTCCTCTGAGGCCTCACCGGGCGAGAGCGTCCTAGTGGCTCAGGGTGGAGTCTAGGGTGGCAGTTTCCTCGGGGGGGGGGGTGCCTGAGCCCCAGAGGAAATGACTTCCTCGTAAAAATACACATTAATAAAAGGGACCCTAACATAGGGAAAATACAAAGAGATAAATGACCCATCCAGGCACCTCCCCTGCCCCCCAGTTCTCCTCTCATTGTTCTGGGGTCTCCCTCTCCAGGGACAGGGAGGAACAGGGGACGGGGCTGTTGGCAGCTCCCCTAGGATCTGCCCCACCCAGCGTTTTCCTCTCCCGGCCGTGCTGGGCCCAGTGAGCACGCGGGAGGAGGGAGGCTCAGGGGTCACGGATTCTGACGTGCCAGCTAAGCCCCTTCGGTTGGAAGGGGCTGGACTCACAGAAGCAAGATAGATAGTAATTTTTACGTGGTAGAAATAAGCTACCACCTCAAGTTTAAGAGCCGGTCTCGACCTGCAGGCCCAGGTTCTCCCCGACCGCAGGCGTCTGCTGTCTGGCTGTGGCCAGGCCGCGTTCAGCGCTTGCAGGGTCACGACCTGTCCTGGCTGAGGCCGTGAGGGAGGCGACACTTGTCTCAACCACATGGGTGTTGGAAACTGAAACATCCCAAGGGGTGTCCATGCTGCTCAGGTAGCTGCTCGATTGCCCAGCAACATGGTCAGCTCAGTAATTAGTTGTGGGGGCTGGACAGGGCCCAAGCTGGCCTGAGCTGGGGGTCCGCAGGCACCTGCCTGGGTGACCGGAGGCCAGGGGCTGTCCTGCCTCAGGCTTGACTGTCCACCGCAGCCCGTGGGATGGGGGAGGGATACGGACAGACCCAGGGGGGCCCTGCCAGCCCCAGGAGGGCCCCCGGCCCCAGGAGGGCTGCCCCTGGGTGCTGGGATATTGCTGCAGCCATTCCTGTGAGAATCTACACGGGTCCACTGAGTGCCCTTGGGAGCCAGGGCCGAGCTGGAGCTCGGGCTTCCCGGGCACAGTGGGATCACACACGGGGGCGGGGAGGGGACCCTGCTGACCTGAGGCCCCCACAGCCCAGGCTGAGGTTCAGCTGGACATTTCCTTTTTCTATCAGAGTCCAGGACTGAGGGGCTGGACGGGGGTGTGTGTGTGTGTCGCAGAAACCACTGGTCCAGCTCAGCCAGACTCAGGGGGGACCCTGGGTGAGTCCTGTCCATCCTGGAGGCTCAGAGAGGCAGGAAGAGGGGGAAGTGAGCCAGTGAGGCTTAACCCCAACCCCTACCCCCCTACCCTAAACCCTAACCCTACCCTCACCTTACCTTGATCTCTAACCCCCAATCCTACCCCTCACCTTAACCTCAAACCCTAACCCTAAGCTTACCCTTCTAACCTTGACCCTGGCCCTACCCAACCGTAATTGTTAACTCCTAACCCTTCATCCCAACCCTGAACCCTGTTTTATTATTTGTAATTTTTTAAAATATAACTTGATTCCAGAGAGAGGAAAGGAGAGGGAGAGAGAGAGAGAGAAACATCAATGATGAGAGAGCCATTGATCGAGCCCACAACCCGGGCATGTGCCCTGACCGGGAATTGAACCCCGATCGCCTGGATCCCAGGTCGACCGCTGAGCCACGCCCGGCTGGGCTGAACCCTGTTGTAAATGCCAAACCTAACAACCTTACCTCACTCTTACCTCTTCTAAAAGCGAATTTACCCCACGTAGCCCAGACGTCGCTGCTAATTCCAGCCCGAGCCCACCTTCCACGCTCTCAACCCCCCACGAGCCCCACCGGGGCTCCCCCGCCTTCGTCTACCTGCGTTCAGCCCGACGCTCAGCCTAATCGTGTCCTGTATGTTCTTGGCTCTTCTGTGCCCTCACCGTGCCCGCTGGCCACGTGCCCACGAAATACCCTCCGATGCCCGTGCCTCCCACACATTACCCAGTAGCTTGGTGGGGTTTTGTTTTCGATTTTTTTTTTTTTTTTTTTTTTTTTTTTTTTTTTTTTTTTTTTTTTTTTTTTTTTTTTTTTTTTTTTTTT